GCTGGTAGTTGGTCAGGTTGTTAGCTGGTAGTTAGCTGGTAGTTGGTCAGGTAGTTAGCTGGTAGTTAGCTGGTAGTTGGTCAGGTTGTAGTTTCAATCTCCTGGTTAGTTCATCTCCCAATGTAATCTCGGTTTGTCAATAATTCTGAATTTTCCAGGATTTTTTTTCCCAAGGTTCTTACTAAAGTTTCTATTTTCTCTGGTATCCCTCCGCCGGGCGGGCCTACCTGTCCTGCAGGGACCCCTCCCCGCGGTTCGGAGCTCCGGGTCGGAGAAGGCGGCCTCTCGGAACCGACACAGGTTAAGGTATGTGGTTCCATCGCTGCCGCACAGCGCCCCCTGCTGCTCGCACACACAAACCTCCACCTCCTCCTCCTCCTCCTTCTCCTCCTGTCCTCTTCTTCCTCCTCTTCCTCCCGCGGCTCGGTCCGCCTGGCACCGTAGTCCGGTTCCGCACAGCCCGTAGAACCGGGCCCGGGCCCCCGGGTCGCAGACCTGGCCCTCCAGGTTCCCGCACTCCGCGCAGCAACTGCAGCGGTCCGGAACCAGGCCGGCCCGGCAGCCGCGGGGCTCCGGGCACAGCTCCGGGTCGCACGGTCCGCAGCGCCCGAACCCGGTTCCGTTGCCGCCTCCCGGCTCCTCCAGCAGGTCCAAGTTCAGAATCGGGTCAGGGATGGAGGACCGGACCGGAGGAGCGCCCCGGCAGAAGAGCGGCTCCGGAACCAGAACCAGGACCAGCAGAACCAGCATTTCAGGTCCGCTCAGAGCTGGTACCGGTTCTGACTGAGGTTCTTCTCTTCAGAACTCGCAATCACATTCCAGTCAGGACCAGCAGGAAATACCGAACCGAACTGGGAAATCTCTGGAAAAATGGGAAAATTGACCAGAACTTCCAGTAAACACAACAAAAGTTCGGAAAAAGTCCGGAAACAGAACCAACAGAAACAAAAAATAAAAATGGGTCCAAACCCAAGAAACCTGCTGATCCAAACAGTCCGGGACCGGTTCTAATCAGCCGGACCGCAGCGGACACTCCGGGTCAGGTCTGACAGAATGCAACTCGCTGTTTCCGGTCTGACCCTTCAAAATAAAACAGAGCTGCGCTGATTCCTGGAGGTTTTCATCCCGACCTGCAACGAAACCAGAAAAAAGTCTCAAAATATTCATTTTTAATAATTTAACCAACTTGAATAATAATTAAACCATTTAAAATAATTTAATGATATTAACACTTGAACCATTTTAATTAATATTAAAATGTTTTAATAGGTTATTTCATGTTCTTCTGGTTCCGGTCCAGAACCTTCTCAGCTCCTCCCGGCAGAACCCCGCTGTCCCGTTCTGCTCCAGTCAGACACACAGGTGAAGAAATGAAACACCCAGCAAACAGCCAGCAGCTTTTACTTTGAAGGAGTTCTGTCCGTGTTTCCGGTCTGATTCTCAGCAGTTGGATGGTCCGAGCGGAGCAGCTGCTGAACCCATCAGTGGCTCCGCTTCCGCAGGTTCCCTAGGTTCTCCAGGAGGTTCCAGGAGATTCCAAGCTCCCGAGGTTCTCCAGGAGATTCCAGGCTCTCTAGGAGGTTCCAGGAAATTCGAGGTTCCCTAAGTTCTCCAGGAGGTTCCAGGTTCTCCAGGTTCCTGACATTCTCCTCCAGAACAGAGGATTTGATAACGAAATGAAACAAGACAGAAGTTCTTCCTGGGACTCCAGGCCACTGGAATCGTGGGAATGATGTCACTTCCGGATCTTTTCCACATTGGCAGATCTCACTTACACCTCAGGCTGGCCAGGTCTGGGTCAACTCACCAGAACCAGAACCAGAACCAGTGATGCGGTGAGGTTGATTCCAGTCAGATAAATAAATCCAATGTCAAATCCATATTTTAACTTTGACCAGATGAACGAATTGAAACTGCAATATAGAATATTTATTAAGGTCAAACATTGAAAAATGGTTTGGATGTTTTGTTTGGCTGACCTGTTTTCTGATGAACTTATGAATAATCTTACCGTTATTTTATGAACGTCTCTGCTGTAAAACCTCCTTGTTTCAGTTTCATTTTTCTAAACCAGGATCATCGCCAGAGGACAGTTTCTGCTTCCGATTCGAGCCATTTCCCGAATCGGAAGCCAACTGACGTATCAGCGCATTTAATCAATCAAACTCGTTAAAAACTGAACAGATTTTCACGAGTTTTCGCTGTGAGCCTTATTCAAACAGCTGCCATAGGAACATTTACAAGGACATTATTATTTTAGGTATTTTTGAATTGACTGATGATGGTTTAGCATATTTAAATATTCTTAGTGCGGACAACAGAATAGACTCGGAATAGAATATTTTGATATTGATGTATGATGAGCATTTTACAAAGCACACAATCAGGCATAAGTTTTTATTTTATTATTTAGTAATATCAGTACATATTTATATAAATATACAAACATAAAATAATACAATCATAAAGAAATAAAGATGATTAGATAATGATTAATACTGAATTATATGCACATGCATCAGGTACATCATGTCCATGTAGGTTTTATTCATGTTCATCCGTCTCTTCCTCACATCGTGTCTCTATGAAACCTTCAAAACTAAAACCATCTTACTTTAGACAGAGTGAAAGAATCACACATAAATAACAGTCTTTGCCACCTTATGTCGCATAATCTAAATCAATATTAGGGAATAATTAAAATGTCCTAATTTTCCCTAATATATCTCGGTTCGCCTTCATAGCTGAACCTGGTAGCGCTGTAGCTAATATTAGCTGGCATTTTGCCGGTGGACATAAATACAGTTTAGTAATATTCTATTCACAAAATATAAACGGTAATATGTCCATCTTACTTGTGAAACTTTATCCCCAGAAATCTCACGTCAATAGTCCGTCGATATGAACAAAAATATCCGGCGGTGCTGAAGCTTCTGCTGCTGTTTCAGTTTAGCCAAGTAGGAGAGCGACCGCTCCAAGATGGCCGCCGTTTCCTGTTCCAGAGCAGCCAATGCGGCGTCTACTCTTATATTATGCATATTGTTGGGAATATTAGTTTAATTATGCTAGTTTTAATGATAGCTTTAAGTTTAGCGCATGTCTGCACCCCCCCCCCCCCCAACCTCCACCCACTAGATCAAAACAACCCGCCCACACAATAAATCCTCAAAAAACTTCTGTT